CAATATATTTTATTTATTATAGTCTTAAAAACTTATATTGTGAATGGCAGACTTTTTCATATAAACATCAGCACATAAATAAATCTGAGATACACTACCCGGTCAGATGTCTATATATTACGATAGCAGTTTTACATTAATATAATTTACTTAATCGCTGTATTTAATGAATTTAATAAATTCCATGTAGTCTACATACTGAACTTTTAAAGTTAAACGATAAAGGAGATACATAACGAAAAAATCTTAAATATTAAAGTATAGGTACTGCTAAGGACAAAAAATAATTTTAATTTGTACATATTTTATTTTTTAAATTTATTTGTTTTGTCAATCATATCAAGTTGTTGATGAGGAGATACAGTAAGTATTGTTGAATATTTATGTTGTACTGCACAGGAAGAAGCAGACATAAAAATAATATATCATGCTTGTAATATCGCTGAGCAGTCGAAAATTGTTATCAAAGCCTCTGACACCGATATTTTAATCAAATGATTGGTAAAATCTAATATTTGGATACTCAATGGAACAGGAAATAATGAAAGATATATTAACATCACAAAATTTTATACAGAGCTTGGTGAATGGTTAGCTAAAAGTTTAATCGGCTTCCATGCGTTCACTGGGTGTAATTTTAATCCCGCTTTTTTTAATAAAGGAAAGAAAAAACCTTTTACATTGCTAAAAATAAATACAGCATTCCAAGAAGCATTTACTGCTCTTGGTGAAGAAAATTTAAAAAGGACTAATTACAACACCAATTTAATGTTATTCAACAATTTGTTTGCCAACTCTACAATGCCAAAAAATCGCAGGACGTCAATGATGGAAGGTTCCAACTATTTGTCCGTAATTACAAAGCTTCAGACATCAATGAAAATTTCAGCGAAAAAAGTTTAAAATTTGAGGCAACCTCACTTCCACCGTGTAAGAGTGAATTCTACCAACAATTTCTGAGAGGTCATTATATTTCTACAATTTAGAAAAATGCTTACAAAAAGCAACCTACTGATTTAATACCATTTCGATTATGGTTGGATTGAGCAGGTCAAGAAACTAGGAGGTCGACTTCCATCTTTTGTGAGTGACTTAATCACCGATGTTCCTGGTAAGTTAATAAAAATCAATTCTTTATCGAATATGTTCGAATCAATTTACAAGTTATTTATATTTTAAAATTAACGTTTAATTAAGCAGAATCCGGTTCAATGGATATGGATGATGAAGACGAGTTCAAAGATAATAACCATGGCTCGGATGATGATGATTGAAGATCAAAATTAATGATTTAGTAATGCATCAATATAATATCAAAATTAATATATATATATTAAGGAAACACACTTTAAATTTTAATAAAACTATCAAAATTCCCGAACGCAACCGAGACGAATTTTACAATAAAACATTTGATTGGCTCTCTTTTGCGACTGCGCCGTGGGATAGTGGTTGTCGATGCGATTTGTGAGTGGTGATGTAATGTAAACTATCATTTAAAAAAAATTACCATCTGATAAAGAGTTAAAAAAAATGGGCATGGGAGCTTTTGCACAAGTCGTGTCTAACGATCACAATATAGCTATTTTTTGAGAGGAGTTCTAATCTACAACCTGATGCTCTATACAAAGCTGAGAAAATATTAAAAAAAACCAGTAGCGGAGAGGCCTGATAATGCTACTCGTTACGACCTAACGGGACATCTTCCTGCGTTTACGACAAAAGGCAGATATAAACTATGTACAAAACATCAAACCAATTTTTTTTGTCCAAAGTGTAACGCACGGTGTATAGTTGAAGGGCGAAATTGCTTTATAGATATTCATACAAAGTAGTATTTAAGTTTTTCATATTGACACAATAGATAGATATGTAAGTAAACTTTGATCTCAGAGCTTTAGGACTGAATATTGTGATAAATAATGATAAGAAGTTTAACTTTGTTTGAAAAAAAAATTTTTAACTAATGTAACATGCGTTACTTATTGACCTAGTTCCTAACAGATCTCAAAACTTGTTAATATTTTTTAGATTTATATTATTTTTTACATTTTGTTTAGTTATAACATGGCAGTGTGCATGTAAAACCACGTTCTTCTTTATATTTTTTTGAAGAAAGCTGAGAAATTATAAAAAAAACACCTAAAGATAGAATTAAACGTTCTTATATAGAAACGAGATTGGAAATGTTGGAACAGTTGTTTATTGAATTTGAGAATGAACACAAGGCGATCATTTCGAGTGCTTCTGTTGACAAGAAAGAATCATACTTCACCGAGGGTAAATACGAGATGTTTGAAGAGTTATACGTACAATATAAAACTAATCTACTAGAAGCTTTAGATCAGTGTTCGACGCCACGTGCAGATACCCTTATCTCGACAGTATATATTATATATAGATCTACGCCGTGTTCAACACCTGCTAAACGAGCTAAAGAAGATGAAACTGGATCCAACTTCACACGTGAAGCTCATGACACTTTTTGGGATTGTTTCATTGAAGTAGCAAAGGATAATATGTAGAAGTGACTGTCGCGATCAAGAAAAACAAAATCCAATTGTTAACGAGATTGATTTTTTCTTAAAGACAGCTCGTATCGATCGCAATCACGACCCATATATTTGGTGGTCAGTTAATGTGAACCAGTACCCGCAGTTGTCAAGGTCAGCACCTGGCAGCAGCGTTTATAGCGAAAGGCTGTTTTCAGAAGCGGGTCTGGTATACGAAGCCAAGCGGAGTCGCCTGTTACCAACGAATGCGGAAAATTTGGTATTCATTCACCACAATTTGCCTTTTGTTAATTTTGAGTACTAAACGAACTGATTAATATTTAACCAATTACTTTGCAATTATAAAAATAAAACTTGTTCTTATCCTACATGTCGTATCATTTGCTTTGTGTAAACTACGTAATGTATTTTTATTTTAATATCCGAAATTCGGCCGGATACTGTATTACTATCCGGTATCCGGCCATATAGTGAAAACAAGGCCGGATAGGCCGGATACCGGATAGTTACCGGATATCCGTTTCATCTCTAGTATATAATACAAAAGGGCATAGTAAGTGCAGTGACATTAAATTGCCGCGCGTACAATTACCTACTTTTGGCGGAAAATATGAGGAATGACAGACTTTCTATGACATGTTTTCCTCGTTAATACACAACAATGTCAATTATCATATATTTTTGCAGCAGTGTAATACATAGCGGCCAGACAGTATATATAATATTTATATACAAAAATGATACACAAGTAATTGTTTTGCACCTTAGGTTTAACTTGTCATCGAATAGATTATTGAATGTATTAATTTTTTTTTTTGTTCTTGATATTTCGATTTTAGTTTATTAGCTTTATTACTATAAAATGATAAAGTGTAATTGTCATAATTAAACGATAATTGTTATAATATTGTAAAAGCGTGTCTGGTAAAATAAATCTTTGTATTTTCAGAGAAACATATTGTGGTTTGCTTTGAGTGCCCTTGATAATATTCCTTGTAAATATAAAATACTTACACCTTTTAGTAGATCACTACACAAGATTTGCTTTTATTGCGACTTCAAAAACACAGAATGCAAGTGTGAAGTACCTTATATAAAATTAACAAAGAATGTACTAGAAACAGATAAGATTGGAATATTTATGACAGATCAATATCCAGGAATCAATTCAAATGAATTTAAACAATATTTGCAGGAGAATAACATTAAACTAATTTATACAGCTGTGAATACATCATTCTCGAACGGGCTGAACGAACGATTAAACCAAACAATAGTAAATAAAAGATGGAAAATAATAGAGAAAAATAATTAGAAAAAATGGACAACTGTGGCAAGAGAATATATCGTCATCAGCCTATCAACGCCCACTGCTGAGCCTCTTCTCACATGGAGAAGGTTTTTTGAGCATTAATCACCACGCTCGCTCAAGACGGGTTGGTGATTTATTAGTTGAGAAATATCTCAGATAGGATGTCCGATTCCTACAATGGTAGACGTATCAATCCGATCCAGCGTGGAAAGCCCGCTAGCGGATTCGATAATCGAAACCGAAGACCCAATACCGGTACAAGGAGCCAGAGGCGAGCATATGAATTCCAGCAGCAGAGGGCAGCTGAGACAGATTGGGCAGAGGCGCGTGAGTTTGAAGAACGGCCCCCAAAACCACGCGGTCCGACACAAAGAAGCGTAGCCCGGAAGGACAAACAAAAGAAGAAAGTAGAAAAGGAGAAGAGAATATATACAGAAATATAATTTACTGGATGGTACAAATGTCAGTATTTTACCAACTGACATTAAAAAAATAGTAAAGGAAGACAAGTGGATTGCTGATAGACAATTAGCATTAGAGAAACAACAAGAATTTTTTTGATAAAAATAGGAAAATGCAAGATTACGATATAGGAGACAGCGACGAACGACGAACGACGAAGATGAATTAAAAAAAGGCCCTTTCAAGATAATAGAGAAAATATCAAACTCTATTTATAAGATTGAGATTGGCAATAGAAAAACAGAATCAACTTTATTTACGTTTACGTTTGAAATTTACATTATAGCATGGGATCTATTAGAAAACCGATATAACAATAATCGTTTGCTCGTACAAAACCATGTAAAGTGTTATTTTGTACTGTGGCGGTAAATAAGGAGTCACCGGTTCAAATACGTGAATTAATTGACAATATTTTGAAGAACGTACGTGCTCTTAAAACGTTAGGTGAACCAAACAAATATTGGGACACTAATTATATATGTCGCCGCAATTACAATTTGAATAATCAATAATTGAGGCTAGATAAATTATCAGAGCCGGCCTCCTGTGCCAACTGTGCAAGAGACCACCCAGTGAACTCCTCTTGCTGCCCGGAATATATAAAAGAGGCTAGAAACAAGAAGGCGGGCACGGTAGCGCAAACCATCACGGCTCCCCTTCCCAGAGCGGCTCAAATCCCGGAAGGTGAACGTAATGCAGCCGGGTCTCTGATGGCGGTCGCAAGAGATCCGACCGCATCCAGAGGGACCCGAAACAAGAAGTGCCGACAACGCAGGCGTCGGCAGGCGAGGACTGACGTCAACCCAGCCCTCCCTCCCCCGCATCTAACTCCGAAACAGGGCCCACGTCTACCTCAGTGACTGCCCCGGTACCTATATCAGCGCGTCAGGAGACCAAGGTTGCCCCCTGTCCTCTACGGGCAGAAAATCCAAATCCACAGTAACCGAGCAAGCTACTGCGTACGCAGTACCGATAACGGAGGTCATTCAGATCCTTCAGGAGATCTTAGCGGCCGTCCAGGAAGGCCGAGTCAAGGAGGTTGTCCCGACCATCCTCAGAGCCCTGACAAGGCTTTTAGTTCGATAGAATACTGAGGGTGGTCCAATAGAACGCTGACAATGGTACGCCGCAGTGATTGAAAATAAGAGGAGGCTGCGAAGGTGATATCAGCGCACCCGATGCCCGACCATCAAGTTCCAGCTCAATGCTCTGGCGGAGAGAGTCTCAGCGGTGTTGGAGGACCACGCTGTGGACTCTTGGTACAAGACCATCGAGCGAGCTGGAGAAGACTGGAGGGGTATCCACCGCATATGCCGCCAAGTATCCAGGAAGTCAGAACCGATCCGGCCCCTGCTAGCGAGTGACAGCACCCCACGTTACCGAACAGCGGACCGAGCCGAGATCTTCGCTGACTACCTGGAGACCCACTTTTAGCCATACCCAGCCGAAGACACCCAGCACGCAGAGGAAGTCGAACAAACCGTAGACGAATACCTCGAGCAAGCGATAGCCCCCACGGAAGACCCCATAATCATCACCCCCGGCCAATTTTTTTCCAGATTCGCTGCACTAAGCTCTGGAAGGCCCCGGTCCTGATGGAATTACAAACGAAGCCACCCGTCACCTCCCCGCTTGTGGCATAATAGCAGTGACGAGATTAAAATTGTTAAAAATTGTTATCTTGCTAATATTCCTTGTATCTCATTTTAAGTAAATGTAAAATTCTTATGAGAAATAAAAAGTTCTTTATACTCATTATACAACGGAGTCCTCAGGACCGGCCGAGTCATCATGTTACCGAAGCCATGTCACATAATAATAATAATAGCACAGTGTTAAAAACGAAACACATAAACTATATTACGATCCCGCAATTTTGACTGATAGGACCATCCATTACAATCGCGGCCTGATATAGTGCTAACAGATAAACACAATAAAATTACATTCTTAATTGACATAGCTGTACCTAACACTCACAATTTGCAAAAAACAATAGCGGAGAAAATTCATAAATACACCGACCTTAAAGACGAAGTCCTAAGCATCTGGAAGCAAAATAAAGTCTACGTAGTACCCAAAGTCCTATCAACGACCGGCGTTATCCCCAATAATTTACATAATAGCCTTAAACTTATTGGACTGAAACCCACTTCTTATATATAATACCAAAAAGCCGCTATACTGAACACATGTAGAATAGTTAGAAAATTTTTAGAGTTAGATGAAACCTTTCTACAAACTTAAATCAATCCAACAGTAACCTCTACTTGACGCCAGTCCGTAAAGGTTACTTATATTCTACCGGTGTATGCCGAGAAGACAAATATATATAAATAATAATAATAATAATAGTTTATTTTAGTAAACATAAACCTGACACAAATTTTATAAAAAGGACATCGAATCAACAATACAAGACGCATAGCTTTATATCTACGCAAAATAAACAAAATAAATTTATCAAAGGAATATTAATTGTTTATAAATTAATATATTGAGCTGGGACACATGAAACCGCCAAGTGACACGAAACCATGTTATTTAAGACACCATTGTGTTTTAGGTGACGATTCTACAACAACGTCACTGCGAGTCATATTTAATGCGTCATCGCTTACAACAAAATCTTCAATTATTAATATTAAAATGACGACAATACAAAATCGCGTTTACGAAAGATATTGAAAAAAAGTTTAAAACATATGGATGCACGAGGATGACCAGAATTTACAGAAAATTGTGTGGAGAGATGATCCGAAGGATAAGTTGCAGGAATATCAATTAACTACAGTTACATACGGTTTAAAAGCCACTCTTTTTCTCGCTATGATGACATTACGACAGTTAGAGAACGATGAACGAGATAATTATCAAGAAGCTACAAATATCATTGAACAGTCATTCTATATACTTTATCATCAGCAAAGGGACTTAATTAATTTATAAAAGTCTGGTGGATTCAATTTACGAAAATGGGTATCAAATAATCCTAATTTGTTACAAGGGCAAATTAATGATCAAAATCAACAAAGCACTCTTCATTTTAATCTTCATCGACGAAAAAACAAACAAGAATATCAACTTGTCGTGGACTCAGTTCTGCAATCATGAGTCATGCTTTTTTAATGAATAATTATAAGCACACTATTTGCTATATAATAGAGCAAATATGATTTACCTATCCATTTTGCGCAGACTAAAAAGATAAATATTTCGTTAGTTCATCAGTTAATTGTTTATTTTAGAATTGTAAACGACTGAAATACGCGGGAATATTATTTCTATTAAGCACTTTAATAGTTTGCGCTTCTAGTTTTTAGTCCAGTTCATCTACCTATGCCTGCGAGTCATTGTTTTCAGAGATGAATAACATTAAAAACTCATTTAGAAATCGTTTGACAGATGAATCCAGTTCAGCATGCATTTTGCTAAAAGTAACATCTTATAACCCTGACATAAATTATTTGTCATCTAACCTGCAGCAACAGAAGTCACACTAATTTTACAATAATTTAATTTATGCGTGTAATAAAAACATTCCAAAATGTACCTCTTTTGTTTACTTTATTTCATAAAGAGTTTTGATAGTATTTATTATTGCTATTCTCCAAATAATCAGAAAGTCAAAATTATTTGATGGCACGCCAATGACCCCATTAAACATTTTTTAGAAAAAATGGCACGTCGATGCATAAAGGTTCGCCTACCCTGGTTAGGGCATATAATCTAGAAATACAATGCTTCCCTGAATTCAAGTCAGAAACTACTGTAAAACAAATAGCTAACACCGTGAAATGTAACTTAAACGATAATGACATACAAACTTGTACGAGGATTATGAAAATCAATAGGGATAGCCCACGCCCAAGGTCAATTCTGGTGAAATTTAGTAAAATGAGAATTAGAGATAGTTTTTTAACGGCAGTTATATCATTTAATAAAAAAGCGAGCAATAACAAAGAAAAACTGAATACGAGTCACCTAGGAATTAGAGGGGACAAAAAACCTGTTTAAGTATGTGAACATCTTCCCCCTGACAAAAACCCTGCATGCTGAAAAGCACGTTTATGTAAAAAACTTTGATATCCTTAAGAATTTATCGTAATATTAATTTTGTATGTTTTCTTAATTAATAGTTTTGGTTATAATTTGTAAAATGCGATTCGTTTTTATGTTATTATCTTAATGTTAGGGGCATAAATACTACCTTGCAAGATGTAAATCGCGAAGTATTAAGTAATAATTATGATGTTATAATTTTATACGAAACATGGCTTAACAGCAATGTCTCTGTTAATGAAATATTTGATGATAGATATTTGATCTATATTTTAATAACAATAACCCCAATTACAAACACTCATCAACACACATGTTATGTGACGGTGTAATAAGTGGTCGTTTAATTAAAATATAATTATCTTTATACGGTGTAATCAGAGGACGCCTTAGCTTCTGGGTAAACTCGTCTATTCTACACCGGTCTGACTCAGCAGTTCCGTGTGAAGACAGTTTTTGGTTTTATATTTCTTTTATGTTTGTAGATTATAAGATTTCTTTTAAGAATTTGATTAAATTAATGTCACTATTTGTTCAACCTTCGTGCAACATAGTCACACCCTAGTTGTAACTTACTTTTAATTAAATTAAGTCAAATAATTTTGGTTTCATTGCATCCACCGACCGTCGAAATCATAATTCACACAAAAATGTTTAAAAATTTCATTCTCAACATACAAAACTTTTCAAACATCTACTTCACAACTGATATATTATACGATTGCAGTGCCTATCATACTCATAATTTATAATCCAGCTTGTCCATCCATCATTAAGCCGTGCCTTTTGTATCCCTCGCTTAAAATTCGATAGTACTAGTATCAAATCTATATCTCAAAATCTTGATTCATTTTCAGTATCTAAAGTAATTGTGATATAGACAATGTTGATTCTTACATACATAATAAAAGTACTAATTTAAAAATCATCTGCCAAAATTTACGAAGTATAGACAACTTTAACGTTTTCATAACGAGGTCTTAGATAGATTGGGATGTAATTGTTCTGAGTATTGGCTCTCTTCAACGCAATATGTTCCAGACTTCCACCAATATAATAGCTTTTCTACTACCTCTCATAAAACTCAAAACGATGGTGTTGTAATATATTATAAAGTAGGTTGTAAAGTTATGGCGGAGGAACCACATTTAGATGATGCCAATTGTCTGCTACTAAAATTAAATGTAAATACCCGTATAATTGGTACATACCGTCCTCCGAGCCAACACTACACAAATAATTTCGTTACGTCTCTAAATAGGCTTCTTGAAATATTATCGAACTATAAAAATATCATAATTTGTGGAGACAAATATCTGACAAAAAACACATCTGACAATCGCTCTCATGAATATTTGAATATGTTAGCTGGAAACTATTTATTTTTTTTGTTGACAGGGGGAAATCTTCGAAAGATTTCCGGCCGCGTGGAGGACACGACCGGGGCAAGGCAACCAAGTGTAATAGGTCGTGTACCAAGTGCAATAGGTCAAATGATGCAAGCATAATAATAGACACTTAAAGATTGTAAACTTTTAATTATTATTATCAATATTGTCTAATTTTATCTTTTATTTCATACTAGCTTTCCGCCCGCAGCTTCGCCGCGTGGAGTTCGGTTATATCGCGTTTCCAAGAGAACCTTTCAAAAGTCTGGGATAAAAACTATCCTATGTTCTTTCTCAAGGTCAACTCTATCTCTGTACCGAATTTCATTAAAATCAGTTCAGTGGTTTAGGCGTGAAAGCGTAGCAGACAGACAGACAGACAGACAGACAGACAGACAGACAGACAGACAGACAGACAGACAGACAGAGTTACTTTCGCATTTATAATATTAGTAGGGATGTGTTGTTTGCTTTTCTTAAATATTACTTATGTTGTTTTATTTTATACCATAATTTGTATACCTTCATAGCATTTATAATTTCTTCTTTGTATTTCTTATTGTCGGGAGTGAGTATGGGTTCACCCATACATTAACATTATTTCATTGTATATACACATTCATAAACAAATATAAATGTAAGTTTGTCATAATTGGTCAGTATAAATAAAGCGTTCAAATAAACTGGTCGTTCTTATTACCTAAACGTGATTACCACAAACTAGCTGGTCTCCATAAAACTATCAAATCTAAATGGTGTGTGGTACAAAACCCATACAGAATATGATTTCAAAATTGAGTATATAAAAGGTTAAGAAAATGTAGGAGCTGATGCTTTGTATTGAATTAATATTACGTCAAATGATTTAAAAGGCATGAATGAGCAAGTTATGGCAGTATTAACTAGAAAGCAAAAGAAATAATGCAAGACAGAGAGAGCGATGTAGAAAAGGATACACCCTTTCTTATTAACTCTGGAGACGAA